CAATCTGGAAGAGAAACCGCTCACTATTATGGGTATCTCGGATCGCCGGGTTTCAAATCACGTGGAGTTTCGTCATACCAGTATTTCTTCAACGAAATACTATCTCAGTTCACGTTGTTTCAGCCAATATTCGGTACTTGCGACCATTGGGTACGGTCATAATTTAAACCAAAAAAACACTGAATCGTTTCTCAGCTCCTTCTTCAACATTACCGACCAGTGCAGCGCTCGTTATACTGCACTCGCTTGACCGATTCATGAGGCTCTTTTTCCGTCATGTCCGCCTGCCTGTCCACTTGCGAATGCCATCTCGAGAGAACTGAGCTTCTTCACTTCCCTGAGTTGCACTAAATTGACTTGTTGCGTTCATGGAGTGATGGTTCATGGGTGAGGGTGTGAAAGCAGGCTACAGTTCTGATTAGGCTGATTTTCATCCTGGTCTTATCGCTTGCCACAGTGAATCGATCAAATGCAAGTTGGAAGGAAGCCAGCGTGAAAAGAAATTAATAATAACACAAGACCATATGCAAATAGCCGGTGACAAAATCGAATATCTTCGACTACGAGACTTCCCACAGCCAGGCCACATCTGCAAATCAAGTCTGCAAAGCTACAAACAGCAGACGAAACAAGACATGTTGCATCCATAAACCAACATGACCTTCGAAAGGCACGGTACAAAAAATTTATCCAGAAAACGATAAGAAAATTATGGGTTCCGTTTCTACGTTTGCTTTCAAGTGAATCGACTGCTTTTCAAAAGCAAAACAGTACAAGAGACATGCACCGAAAGCTACAGTCGGTCAGTGTGGGTCAACGACACACGGCCCGTCAGAGTCATCAATGTTTCAAACCGAGAGAAAGCGATCGATCGCAACGTTTTCAGTAAGAAATTGCCTACTGCAACTTTCGGAGCAACGTTTTTACACGAGCGGGAAACACTAGGATTGGTCGATACTGAATCATATAACTCTACACCGGACCACTTTTTCTTGCCTTTACTTTTTCCACATAATTCTACCAATTTTTTCCACCTGAGAAGTCAGACATCCTTCGAGCCTCTGGCTGTCTTAAGCAAATAAAACTGAAACTGGCTTCTTTTGTTTTCCAACCTTCGTTTCCGCATTTTGCGTCAGTCAGTGGTAGACTTGGACTTCGTTGTTGGCCGAAAACAGAAAGCAGTCAAACTCTACCAGCGCAAGTCTCTGTCAGTATACTTATACTCAAGTCTTATACTCGACAGGTTGCCGGATATCCGTCCGCATGCGTTGCATGGATCATTACACTCTAATCTTCCGCAGCCAATACAGTGAAGCAGCCAACGAAAGCATTTCTTAAAGGCACGTCGAAGTTTACTACCGCTCAGCAGCTAAACTTCACCGATGTTCAAACGGCGTGAAAAACTCCAAAGTATCATTTCGCAATGCAGCAAGCAATGAAAAACGAAGCATTCGCTGAGTTTAGAAAGGTTAAATGTCAATGCAAAAGTTAAAACACGATTTAGCACAAGCCATGTTGACTTTATGACGGTTTTTACGCACAAGACTTTCGCCAGAACAGCACACAGAAGAAATCGCCAACGGCACTCAGATGCTGTTTGTTACCGTCGTCTTGAGGTGCTGACACTTTCGAGCTGCCCCAGGTGTCGAACCGCGACTAGCACAGCAGCACTGACTGAGTAAGCTACTAAACGACATTGGTCAGCATATCACGGAAAGATGATTCGCTGAAGGCAGTTCCAATTACGCTTCGTCTTTCCATGCAGAACATTATGTTCCAAGGAAGGTCCTACGCAGTTCATGGAGAGAAGAACTCGGTTTAATCAACGGATTTCTCAATCGGACGAGTACCGAGTTGCACTGAGGTCGATGGCTCTGCCAGTAGCAGATTCGACAGGGAATTTCGAAGCAGCACTCAACTCAAACCCATTTTCAAACGAAACCTGATTTCACCAACAGAGCGCCTGACTTGTGCTTTGAAAGTATTTAATTTTTGATAAGTCAAAGTTAGTGAAGCATATTTTAAGCATTTGAAGGAACCTCAACAGAGAAAACGATGGGTAGTTCAGCAAATACGTATTGATAGCACAACGTGTACGATAACGTATTTCTTCGTTGCACTGTCAGCTACTGTCAATGGTTACCGTTTAACAGTAGTCTAACAATTAATATGAAAGTATTCCCTTCGTCGACTGCAGGAAACTGGAGCCATCCATACCTTCCATTGATTTACATCGTACAGTCTCTTAAGGTCTGAAAAAACATGAGTCCAATTCTGTACCACGGCCACTAGTCAGCACCATCACGAACAGGAATACTGGGTTACTCGGTTTCTCGTCCATTAGAAGATCAAGAGTAGGTAGATCAGTGTTACCTGTCCCAGGTACTGACGAACTGGACTGATCCGCGGTGTCCTGCTAAAACTAACCAGAACTATTGTGACTAAGGCAGAACTGGATCTAAAAACTAAGCTCTCTGCGTTCAAGTCAATCTTAATCCCAATGCTGACCTACGATCATCATTCGCGGGCCATCACTGAAAAACTTCCATCACGGGTACGACTGACTAAAATCGGCTTTCCGAGAGGAATCACCGGGCTCACGGGTCTCGACATAGTCAGGAGCAGAGATATCCATGAGAACTTGGGTATACGGCCGCTGCTTCTCCGAACTGAGAAGTCACAGCTGCGATGCTTTGGGAACGACTTGCGAGTGCCTTCAGAAACGAAGGCAAAACAGCAACTACTTGCCAAACCGATCGGTCGAAGACCACTGAGACGGTGAAGAATAACTTGGGACAAGAGTATCTTAGAACTCTGCCGAAATTCTAATGCTGGCGCAGGATCGGGAACGTTGAAGCCAGTGTCTGACGCGCATGCCTCCGCGACCCGGAGGGATAAGCGGTCATTGAAACTGACTGTCTAAAACCCCTTTCAGCGCGCTGGTAAGCAAATGAGACTTTATTTTTCTCGCGTACGAACATATTTCGATGTTACGCAATAACATATGAGCACCACCTCCGGAAACGTCATTCGCAATGAGCGCAAGGAAGATCTAGCGAATAACATAATGCAAGATGTACCTGTCTCTAAAAGTGTTCATATTCCATGGAGGCTTAATACCATGGCTTGCCATAAATGCTCCCGTTAGGTAACGAGGAGCAAGGGCCTGTGCAACACATGGTTAAACCTGATATTTAAGGCGTCATGCGCTATCGCTGTTTACCTCTCTGCTCTTGTACACGTCTTTGCATGAAGCAGGCAACGAAACGACGACGTCCTTTTACACTCAGTTGCTAACAATTCTGTGACTGAAATGAAAGCAGTGCAATGACATAACGTTGGATACATTGAACAAATGGTCCGTACCTAGCTACTCGTGTAAGTGCATTGGATCAGAGTACATAACAATCCATTATGATGTGGTAAGTTGTTTCGAACATCACAAACAAAATGCCACCGTTTCATGGCCTAGCTTTAAGCTGTCTTACTGACTGAGTGAGGTCCAGTTTAATCAGCGCTGTAAACAGAATGACTGTCGCTAAGTTTGCGACTGATTTTCAAGACTCGCCAAGATCATGTGAGAGCCATGCTAATGTTAGAGTTAGAATAAAGTTGGCAAAATATTCAGAGATGTAGCTACCTCGCACAGTAGTCGTGCCATGTCTCCGTAGAAGATAGAGTAGACGTAACGTGATCTACGTAGACTTAACGTGATCCAGAGTACAATTGCTAGAAACGTATTGTCTGTACCTGAGAATTATTATCGATGCTTGAAATGTGCACTCTGAATGAGGCAAAGAATGAAACCTTTAACCTTTCCACCGATAAACAACATCAGCACCATGAGTAAAACTATAATTTGCCACAGAAACGCTCACCTCGTACCTACGATTAAAAAGAGCTGCTTTTGAAAAAAGCTGCATTTGCTAAAGAATGAAAGAAAGACCCGCTCTCAGAGGACAACAAACACGGAAGAGAACCCCCTCCTAGTCTTCGTACCGGTATGCAGTAAAATACAACTGACGCTCGGCACTAAAGAAGCAACTCCCATTCGAATAAATTTTGAAAAATAATCTCAATTCAGGTATCGTCTGGTGTGAAGTGCTTTTCGCGACTGTACAATTGCAGCTGATCTATGAAGTGGACAACAGGACAGTGCTGGCTCGTGATCGGCGATCCTTCCCTTCATCCACCACACATTTTCTTCCTTCGTTAATCGAATAGGTTTTCTCTCAGACAAAGACACTGTATAATCAGAATGCACTCAAAAATGTCTACGTCATCTACGTCTAGCGTTTCTGAGTTCGTAGAAAAATGCACCAACGGGTGACTAGCTGTCGCAAGCACTTCGACGTTTCAATTCCACAGGCCGAACATTGCAACAACAGTGCAATAACAAGTCGAACTTGTTTCGTCTCAACGGAGCTGTAGGCCGGTGAGCAGTAAGCCAGGCGTCAACCAGCAATCACCATGACAGCGGAATGCGTTCTTTTGCTGTTAGCACTTCTTTCACGAGTTATCGTAGACAAGTTTGTTTTTACAAGCCGCCAACAAAAGGCTGTGTTCTTTTCAAACACCAGACGACAGGGCAGAAACACGAACCGGTGGACGACGGAACGGATGCAACGGCTGGAAGAAGTTGAAAGAATAAACATGGTCGATATCGGTCGAGATCGATGTTAAGTTCTCGTCGAAACGCGCTATGCTCGAATAAGGCTAGCTCGGGCAGGACAGAAAGAAAACCAGGACAGTACGGCAGCGTATTCCAAAGCTGTCACACACCGTAGCTCAAAGGACAACGCCACATTGACGACTGATCGGTCGAAAACGGGAAATAGATTAACGGAAACAGCCAATTCTAGAAAGAAAGACAAATGTTCCCCCAATTCCCGTAACCCAGCACCCACGGTGGTAACAGCTAAGCAGTCAGGAGACTATTTCGTATATCAGCTGCGACGACTAGAGGCGCAAACGTTCAAATAGGTGACGGACGGATTACAACATCAGCGTTAATAATTCCAAAGATTTTTGCAGTACATTGGTGTTCCTTCGAGTACACCGTAAAATGCTTGCGCAGCGCAACAGTAAGACAAAGTAGCAATTCGTCAAATTTTCACCTGCACATCAGAAGAAAATACGCAGCACCTCACGGAAACGAAAAATTAATGCATGTATTAGTGGATATGAGTGCATTAACGTGTGGCCTGTCGTATATTAAGAAGTATCAGAAATACAGCATGGTCAAGTAAAGGAAATCCCACTTCGCCAATGAGGACTGAGAACGGCCGGCTTTTTAACTAAACCGAGGCAGAAACCGCGCCAGACATACTCAGGTACCCATCATTTTCCTGCAGTGACCGCTCGGAACATAAAAAGTGTGTGATGATCGTTGATTAACAGCACGACCAGAAATCGTTTTAAAAACAAACAAAATACGGAGAAAAAAGTCTGCATGCTATGCCAGAACACGGCATCTGCTACAGATCGTTAATCATCACTCGTTGGTGTTACCTAACTTAACTGATTAAGTAATTCATATGCGTCTGTTTAATCAGAAATGAACGATACTCAAAAGAGTGAATATTTCCGAAAGGTGTACGCAGGATGTTTGACGACAATGCAACGGCATCCAGCTGCGCCTCGAAAATTTTCATAAACTATATTCGATGTTGACGAGACAACGGAGAATCTCTGCTATTCTTACAGGACAGGAAGCGAATCGTTTCTTCACGTTTCTTCATCACAGTTCTTCTTCCGTGGTACGAGCATACGGCAATAACGATTCTGAACAACCATCAGCCTATCTACCCTTCGTGGACGGTACGAACATCTCGGCGAATATAAAATTGTTTGTCAGTCATACTTAAGTGAACTCTAAGGTACATGATAAGTTGCCAAAATCGGGATATAACAAATGAATAAATAAAATACATAAGCGGTGAGAAAGTCGATTCCCCATCACGCTCATTTGAGTATGGTTTAAAACAACTGTTTCGTTTCCTTGGGGTCGAACTGACTTCGGACAGCGAACGCAGAGATCTGAACGTGCAAGAATCTTGTGCCTGGCCGCTTCTGAAGGCGCTGTTAAAAATTTCATAAAATCAAATAAAATACACTGTCATAGTCGATAACGACTATCCAGTTTCCTTGAAAATCCTACAGAACCCTCGCCGATGCTGCGGCATGGGCCACAATACAGGCACAAAAGACGGAAGCCCGGTTGCTTAGCCAAACGTCCGAAACAACATTTCATATTCGCCAAGTCTTGGCCAGGCCACTGAATCTGTCTGCCTTCTGAAGGACACCGGTCAGAGTCGGAATGCAGACAGGCAGGAAGATAAAAGTGCTTCTAGAGATGCAACTGCGTTTGTTTTATGAGCAGTTTACGTTGTAATGATAAAATCTGGCACATGGCCATATTTCTAAAGCAAGAAGCTGATACGCCTGCTGTTTTAACAGTTGACAACAAAAAAAAAACAATAAAAACAGTTTATTTAGTAGCCATTCGACGTTTCGACCGAACTGCAATCGGCATCATCAGAGAACGATGATTAATTCCCTGATGATGACAGGTGCCCATTAGGCCGAAACGTAGGAGCGCTATTAAATAAAGATTTTTCCTAGCGCTTCGCGCTGCCAACCATCAGAAGAAGACGTATCGGCTTCCAATCATCCACAGCAGGGTAGCGTTAGAGCTCAAGAAATTACGTACGCAAAAAAGTTCTTCAGCCATTAAGCCGTTACGCGTCACTAAGCGCAAAGAACTTTGCAACTTTTCCCTCTATTCGTGCTACAACGAGGCGGCTAAAAAGTTAAAGTAAATTTGAACAGCTTTGCTGTTCCGTTGAAAAAAAAACTTGTGCTAAAAATTAAGCTCTGCTGGTCGGCAAGGTTCTGTTACGACGGATGGAACTCTGTTACACCTCGTTTACTGACCTCTGCCGGCAAATGCATGGGAAACACGCACCTCGTCAAAGTTCTCTTGATTACAGCTAAAAGTTTCCAGACAAGTCAAAGAAAAGTCGAACTGAACATTGCGAGAAGTGCCATAGAGGCAAAATCCGACAAGCGTACATTAAAAGCGCACCTCCCCTGTATGTTGCCATGCTCCAGATAAACCGGCATGAACACCGGCGACAGAAACCACGCGTCTGAGACTCCGCCGAAAACTGAACGCATGTCGAACCGCTGTGGCGGTGCATT